ATTTTTTCTACGTTTAGCCTGTAATCATTGAAGAAAGAAGAGTTCAACTTAATTAAGCGTACTACAACAATAATCATTTTGATAAGCGACAATTTCTATTTCTTACTGCTCTATCACCAAGTCCTATCTGGATTGCTGTTTCGATGGCAATGATCCAGGAGGCTGCATCAAATTCACTATCTCCCTGAAAACTAAACAATGATGAAAATTATAAGCAGGATGTGAAGCTAAAGAGGAGCTTATTGCTGGTTAATATTTCAGTGCTTAAGGAGACAAACCTTTCAGGGGAATTCTGAAGGTGTAATACAGTTGAAGAGTCAAGTGGCTGCTAAGTTAGCCCAATTTTTCACAGTGAAAGAGTGTCGGAAAAAAAATGCCATGGTACTTTGAACAACAGTTAAAAGTTTTAGCTTACATTAGGTCAAAAGTGAAACAAAGCGTACTACACATCGCAAGACCATTTGAAATGACAATAGTCAAAGACTAGCAAGGTCTAATGAAGTAACAGACAACTACTACAGGAGGAAAATGGGGCAAAAATGACTTTGATTCATACTAACCTGTAGGACTTGTTGAAAGTAATGATTGTAAATCTGCTCTTGTGTCCCTCAACGGTTTTTACTTTGGCAAGTGCAGCATTGATACAGTTTATTGGAGTTGCATACATAAAGTCCTGTGGGAATGAAATATGAACTGTGAGGTGGAGTGGAGACTTCATTTAAGAGAGGGTAACACAAGGAAGTTATAATGAGAACTGATAAACTTGAAAAGCAATAATTATTGTGAAAAAAATCAAGCAAAAAACACTCCTTTGTCACAGTGAGAAACTAGCAAAAAACAAACATCAAGGTTGATGGGAGAAACATACTTCATATGTGTCATAATAGCAAATCTTGTCATCTTTGACAGCAACATATCTAGATATAAACAAAGTTTAGAAGGTTAAGAAAATGAAAGAGGAAAGTTACTTTTTCATTTTTATTATTGCCCTTTTTTTTATCGATGTGAAGAAGATCAGAAAAGAATACCTTTTCTTCCAGTCAGCAACTACGTTATGCCCTTGTTTCTTTAGCCATCCCTGAAAAGTAATCATCATTATACGTTAATTAAGATAATATTCAAACTGCTGACAAATTAATGTGAAATTCAGTGACTTGGGATGGTATACAAAGAAAATGTCTATTATTTGTGCACATTAGATCATATTTAAATGCTATTTTGCACCTTATTATTATCTCTGGAACTGTTTTACACATTTAAAAACGTTGTTAAAAATGGTTGCATTTTTACTAAACACCATAGGATCAGCCATAAAATATATATAGGAAAATACTTTTAATTAAAGAAATCACACCTCTTTATCAGGATCACACATGTCTCCTCCACTCTTCCAAGCTTTTTCATCTCCCTGGAGCATAAAAACGATCCATGTTTTTGTTGGTGTTCCTTAACTGATAGTAGTAACTATTACAGTTAAAAAACTACAGTTGTAAGCTATCCAATGAGTATTAGAGATCAGGGCACAATTGCCCTTTTTAGATAAGCAGGCATACATGTAACAATCAAAGCAATAGCTATAATTCAGTAATGAAAATATTATTTCAGCGGCCTTTATTCAGGTTTCTACCCCGACTGTTAAAAGTTAATGTGCAAGGTTAAAGATTGCAATTTTGCAACTTGAAAGGATCTTAATATTGCCCAGGACATTTTCTGGGGGTGATGATTCTGTCAAGCAAGTTTTCAGGCATGATATTGTAATTTAATTACCTTGTAAACAATAACTGCTTCCATGAGAGTCTGTGACCAAAGATTCATGTCCGCTGTTGGGAAATTTATACAAAAGAGACATCCAAGTTATAAAATAAATGTTTCAGCATAAAATGAGCATATTTTGACAGGCCAATATTTCATCCTTAACAAAGACTGTGAAATTGAATATTATTAGAACACTGTCTAATTTCAAACCAATGGGGGGGCTGGATATGAGTCCATGCATTATGGGACTATTAACATAGGGCACAAATAGCCAAAAAAAGCACCCCTAGCTTTGCAAAATTCTCACGTTTGATGTTAATTGGGTCAATATTGAACAAGATACAGCTACATAAAACTGAAGAAAGAGCAACAACAACAATACAAAACTCACTAGTGCTCTCAGAAGCTAAAATAAAAATTCTGTTTGGAGTGATGACCTTAAATGTTGGACGTTTTGCCTGAAAATGAAAAGAAAATAAAGGAGAAAATGGGTAGGTAGGCAGGTAGGTATGTGTGCAAGTAGGTCATACGAAGTTATGGTATATAATATATAAAAGAAGATAAGTCAACGTGTACAACCCTCCAAATTGCGACCATTTTAGTTGCCATGGCACCTAAAATTTGAAGCTGGGGACTTGATTTGTAAAAAAGTCTCCCTAAATCAAAAGAATTGGTTGCCAAATGGCGACCAAGCAAAAAACTTTAACTTGGAGTGTTGGTGTAAACAAAGTTGTGTCTGATACAGGTGTAGCCTGGACCTAGTAGCTTTTGCTATCGGGCTAGTGAATTCTGTCCTTAACTTGCCCAATACAAAAGTGAACTGGTATTCTAATTGCAGAACTCTAATCAATCTTGCTTGTCAAAAATCTTTTTTCTGTCTAGTTAAAATAACTCTTGGGTTAGTAAATGCTAGCTACAACTGACTTTCTTTGCACCCTGATTTAAATATTAAATTATTGTTGATAGGCTGCACAACAGATCTAGACAAACCTAGTTAAAGTATTTTTTTCAAAGAGAAGGATGCTATTAAAAAGTGACTAATTTAACTGCACAAGATCCTTGCTGCTTTGGCTAGTAAAGTAAAGAAATAAATGAGACTGTCTGATCATTGTAATAATCAGACAAATTAAACTAATTCAATTTTAACAAAAATGTATTTTTCCATCAAATTTGAAACCTATTAAAACTGCTTTCCTATCCTGCAGCTTGACAATAATATACGGTGATACCAAAATAATCTATTTCATACTTACATCTTTCAATGGCTCAATGTTTCTTATTTGACTGACAGGAATGATATGAAGGGATTCATTCAGATTTTGCTAAAAAGATGTATACAAATAACTCAGTATATTGATCTTATAAATAAAATGTTTTTGAGTTCTTTACTTCAGTCAGTAAAAGCTGTTGAAATCACTGGAAGGAAGAAATGGTGGAAGTACACAAGCTTAAAGAAACTGCAAAATACTTGCTACCTCAGAATATAATGTGCAACAGTTCTGAGTTTTTTCAACTCAACATAAGCAACCCTTTACACCACCTTGTTCACCTTTCCTGTAAGCCGTACAAATGCGTTTTTCCTACGACCTTCAAGTAGCTTCTGGTTAAATTTAAATCATGCAACGTAAAATTTTATTGCTCAGACTTGCTTATGTGCTTTTATTTCTGAATCAAAAAGTTTTAAAAATAAAAGCATACATTTTGTTTACATGTACCTTATCTTTGTAGTATCTCAAGTCTGTCCCACTAAAAACAAACCAACGTTTTCGCCATCCCTTATTGTTTTGTTGCCTAACGGTAAAAGAAGAACAAGTTTGTACTGGTCAAAAATGGTGCCTGCTGGTAATTTTGAAGCATGCTTCTTGATCCAATCTGTGTTTTTAGGCCTGCTGGTCCGCCGAGTGGGAGACTAGACCAACAACCAGAGTCTTAAAAATCTGGCAAAATCATGTTGACTGTTTTAAGATCATGTGTCAGTTCAATGATGGTGTCATTTGGGCTGTGACATTAAGCCATTGGCCTTGTCTCCTACATCCTTCTTTCATTTGTCAATATGAAGTGAAGGGGATGTAAAAGAACCCTCACCACTGTTCAAAAAGAGTAGGGGATGTTTTCCCAGGAGTCTACTTCGTAGCACACGTTATTAGCATCATGGGCTGCCCTTGCATGCTGATGTCTGAGCTTACCGTTAACTTGTTGGTATGTCACTTTGTTTGTTCGTTCGTTCGTTTGTTCATTATTTTCTTCACACAGTCATTCATTCATTCACATTAGGGATTAAGGGGATAAAGAACTGTGCTCTCACTGACCCTCCTTGTTTCCAGAGATATCCTTCACTCTTGCGAACCTGCAAGTGTCAAGAAATACAAGTTATGGAATTTATCTTTCTCTCACCTGGGAAGTAAAAAGCTATGATTCTCTGTAGCAAAGAACTCACTTTTAACAATAAACAGAAACCAGTAAATCACACTTACCCTGGGACTAAGTATATTTTTTGATATTCTTGGGTCTTCAATACTATCAACGCTGTCACCTCTTACCGGCTATAAAAAATACAACAGATCACTGTCTCTTCATGAATTCAAACTGTTTAATGACAAGATTTAGAAAGGCAGCCACTTAGGACCAAACATTTTCTTGCAAAAATTTGTATCATTTTTAAAGAATTCTCAGTCAAATACATAGTATCCATATAGCTAGAGGGTGTCCCTGGCCTCACTTTCTGAATTTTCTGGATCCACCCTTGTTGTCCACTTAACAGAGGTTCAACTGATTGCATACCTTAGGACCAAACTCTGGCAAATCTTCCACTGCATCCAGAGAGTCATCACTTGAGTAGTTATCATCTCCTGATTCTTCTGCTTTCTGATAATCCTTAAAGTTAATGGCTTCATAAGTGGTATCTGCAAAAGGTTCTTGTTCAGCGAGGCTTGTGTCTGCGCTATGTTTCCTTTGAACTAGTCATAATTAATTCAAAACAACAATCAAACAGGCATCCAAAACATTTCACAAAGGACATACTAACTATGCAAGACTCTTAAAGACTTATGAATTATCAGTTTGAGAATCAAACTAGGTTGAAATCATTTTGACCTGAATTTTGTTTTGACATACAACATAAACAGAACGTACCCTGCTACAGCTTTGAAGAATCTCTCTTTCAAGCACACATGAATACAGTTGGATTTAGGATTCTAAGATCAAATTATGTTGTGTATTTTATATTATTTAAATCCCAATTTTAAATAACTCCTGTTTGTATATAGTTTTGATACATAAGTAACATGCCAATTTCAAATTATATTGAAAAGCAAATAATGACAATCTCTGAACACACAATATGGGAAAATTAATTTATATACCTTAAACTGCACCTCCCTCAATCCCTCCAAGATCTTTGCACAGATAACAAAGGCTTGAAAGATGAGATTGGAACTTTCTGCTCTTTGATACGGACAAAGGCAATGGCAACTTAAAAATGGAATTCATAAAGGCTACTTAAACCCTTCAAACTCCAATATCTACATACAAGATTCTCCAGACTGGTCCCTATATACAGGGTTAAAACCCTTTTCTGAACAAAAAAATTCAATGATTTTCAAGGACACACTTCCCATGTTTCAAGGACTCCATTCAGTGAAAAAAAGAGCCTTGAGTCTGTCTTTTTTGGTTCTTCCCCAACATGAGCAATTTCATCCTGAAGGTCTTTCTGTGTTTGCTGCTTTTAGGCACTTGAGAATCAGGGCCCAGTTGTTCAAAGGCCGATTAGCGCTTAACCTGGAGTTAAATTTCACCTGGCTTTTTCTTTCTTGTGTTCAAAAGCATTTTCTCTGATAATTTTCTCTGTTATTTTTAAAACTTCCAATCATCAACTTGTAGACAAAAAGAATTAAAACGGAAATGCTTTTTAAGCTTTCAAATCTGAATTCAAATCTCGCACTAACCCTGGGTTATCTTAACCCAGCTTTGAACAACTCGGCCCTGGGTTGGATAAAGTTTCTAGCACTGAAATTCAAGGACTTTCCAGCGCCAACTGCAATTTTCAAGAACTTTCAAGGTACATGTGATCTGTGTATATATTTCTATAAAGAATTAGTTAAAAGAATTTGATAAAGGATCAAAACATTTTGCCTTAGGTGATTAAAGTATTACATAACCTAGTTTTCTCTTGATTGTATTTGGTATTGATAGGAGAGAACTGATTTTGGTCACTCCTGGGCCTTAAAAATTTAAGTGACACTGTACCTTGTCCAGAGGCTAACGCACCATCTAATTCATCACCCTGATTTTCGTTCCCTCCCTCTGTGGGTATAGGAGGTAACGGCATATCTGAAATACTCCTTTTCTCTCTTAAACTTGCTTGTCTAGGAGGCGCAGGTGGGGCTGGTCTGGAAGGATATCTTGGGAAAGTTGATGGTTTGTCTTCTGTAGGACCAACGTCTCTGTTACCTGGTGTTGTAAATGACTTTGTTCGGGTTTGTAAAGAGTGTTTGCGTGCAGATGGAATCTCCTCTTTCTTTTCATCTATATTGTTCCTCTCAGGGGCTACTGCCGACACTAATATATTATCTTCCGACTTTACTCTGGTACGTGGTGCTCGAGGGACAGGTACTGGTTTTTTGGATCCTGTCCTAACAGGTGCCTTTGGAGCTGGCCTCTTTGCTTCCGAAGAAGTGTGACCTGTTCCTTCTTCAACTTCCCCTAACATGTGATTTTCTCTGCTTGTTTGATCATTGCAAGTTTCCAAGTCCCCATCACTAAGTTGGGGATGAGGCAACTCTGAAGCAGCTGACAAGGAATTATCAACGTCGGTAGAAAGTTCTTTGCAATTCAATGGATCAAAGGTTGCAACAATGTCCCCATTAACACCATTATTAACCAAGCATGAAGCCTGTTGCTGAGTTTCAGTCTGCAAGCTAGACTCTAAACTCGTGCCACTTATAACTTCTGGTTTATTAGCAGAAGCTGCCTTTTCTACAGTTCTTCTGGGTGGTTTCTGGGGCACTTTCCTTTTTGGTACATCACCATGAACTGGAAGTTGTTCAGCATGAGATGGCAGAACTGAATGGTGTGACTGAGTGTTTAGATCCACAGTCCTTGGGTTTGAGTCTCTAGAACTACTCCCTTCCTGTAAGTCTGCTCTTGGCGGTATAGGTGGTGGAGCTTTTACTGAAGGACTTCGTTTGGCGGTTTTCGGCGGAAGCATTGGTAGCCCCTCTTCAGCAACCGTGCTTTCTGAATTTCCACCATCCTCCTTTAAAAGCGGCGGAGAAAAACTGTTCTCAAGGTCACTTTTTCCTTCATCGTTCTTTAAACAAATTAGTGATGTTTGCTGTTCATTTCCTGCTTCAGATTGCCCTATCAATTCCGTATTTGACACGACACCATTTGCTTCGTTCGGTAACTTTGTGCCGAGCTTTTCTTTCAACTTCTCCACAAACACCAAAAATCGCTTACGATGGTACGGTAATACAATTCCAACTTCATCGAGAACAGTTTCATCGATCTTGCAGCAACTCTTAAGGGAAATAAAACCGTTTGTCACAAGTTTATCGGCATACCTTTCCAGCTTAACTTCCGAGGACAGCCATTCCCTCACGGCCAAAATATCTTCGCTGTCGGCCGCCATTTCCAGCTAAAGCCATACAATTTTGTTTAGATCCATGTTGTTAAAGATCACGAAATGAAGCAAGTGTCAGTTACTACGCTTGATAGCCTATAACAATACCATCTTTGGTATCCCCAGTTTTCAATCGGATATGTTTTCGATCGCAATGGCCTCTTCCGGGGTCAAAGAAATGCGCACAATCAGAATTGCTGAAGAGTGCTGACCAAATTTGCTGACCACACTCCAGGGTCACGTGGAACGCAATTGGCCACAGGTTGTTTTACGTTTCCCTGAAAATCATATTTTGTTGGCTACACCTCAAATCACATACCTTTATAGTGAGTGAAGATAAGCGGAACTCAATTTGCGCTCTCTGGGCCGTCAGGCCACGATCTTAAATGTTTAAAAATGAAATAAAAAGTATGTCGAAATATACATAAAGAAAAATGAAAGATTGGCACTTTCACATGGTAATTTCTCTCTCGCGCGCTCGCGCCTTTTTTGCAGACACGAAAAGAATTTTCAACAGCAACAGGTCTACCGGCGTAGCAAACTGTTCCCTAGATTTGCTGCTAAACTCACTTATGGTCGCGTTTTTTATTTCCCTGCTAGTGTGACTCCATACGCACGTTATATAGGCGAAGCGCCTTTTAGGTGTTGACCAAGACGCCACACTCTCTCGGGGAACTAATTTTTTCCATAGCGAAAGTGAGGCTTCTAGCTGGGGATTAATATTTGTGATTTTCGGGAGGTCGTGCCCTCGAAACACTAGTGAAACAACACGCAGAGATGTCGGACATTACCACGGCCTAGTCCCTATACGGCGTCTTCCCACGCAATCTCGGTCAAGGCATTTCGGTGGCAAACTCGCTCGGACCACGTGACCCGAAACGCATTAGCCGCCCGGAATAATGAGGCCTACGGACAAGGCAACGGCGGACAGTCGTTCCGTACAGTCCTTCGGTATCATTAAAAACACTGTACACGGGAATTTTGTCATTGGCCGTTTTCAAGCTAGAGCTAGAAATGGATTATCCGTCTGAGACTAGTCTGTGTACAGTCGCACCCTCCCCACAGACACCCCTTCTCCGATTTTTTCTGAGCGGAAGGGGCGGCTGTACACAGGCTATCTGGAACGCATAATCCATCTTCAAACTGTCCGTCGAAATTGACGGATAAAGTCAGGCGGATTGTTCATTCAAAATTAAAACTATTCCATTTTCAAATTAAGAAGTATTAACTATCTGACGCGAATCATCAAACGGATAACCCGTCTCACACGAATAATCCGTCTCTGGTGTGAAAACGGCCATTTCTGTTATAATGAATGTCGCACCCTGGCCTTGGGTTGGGCGTTTGCGTGTCCGCTTTTGTTTCATCCTCGGAGACCCAGGGGCAGATAGTGGGGGCGAGGGAAAGTCTAAACGGGCGGAAAAATATGGCACGAACAAAAGTTTCGTGCCATATCTTTCCACCCGTTTAGACTTTCCCTCGCCCCCAATATCTGCCCCCTGGGTCTCCGAGGATGCTTTTTCTTTTTCACAAAGATTATTTTTAAATTGACTATTGACATTTCTATGTGTAAAATAATATCAGAAGTGAAATATTTTATAAAAAGTATGATCTATCAAATGTTAAAATTTTTCAAAAGAATAGCTTGTTTCATCCCGAGATGATCCGAAGACCTTTATTTTGATTTAAAAATACAAAAAAAGGTTAATTAATATTTAACTTTTTGAAACAAAAGAAGTTAATTTTTAACTTTTTTGTTAACCGTAACTGAAAAAAATTAACCGATAGCCGTAAAAGAGCCAAAATTTTAGCCGATAACCGTAAAAGCCACCACCCCATTGAGACCCTCGGAGTAGCGACGTACAGTTTTTGAGTTTGAGTGAATCGAGGAAAATCCTGCATTTTGCTTAAAAAATTATCAGGCAGAATTTAAAGCGATAAGACATGGGCAATTCCAACAGTTTCCAGGTATCTCATATTTACCTTCTGGTCAGTTCTTTACCTTTTTTTTCTACTTTGTTTTTGTTTTTGCTTTTTATTTATTTTTGACATTTTTCCTGGTACGCACGTGCATACTGGTATACAGGTAGCTACGCCCTTGTTGACGCCCAACAGTTTTTGAAATGGACGCAGGGGTGTATTAAAAACAGTCAACAAAATCGTGTAACGTGTGGCGGCGTTGCTTTTGACAATTCTCTATACATATCCTCAGTGAGATTCGGAGCCTGTAAAAAATCCTTGTTAAGGTCTTCCTTGTTCTCTTTGTTTTGTATTGTTTTGTTCGTTTTGTCTGTTCCTCGGACCGAGATCATAATGTTAGTGCAACTTAACTGGAAAAAACGAACTTGTGATAATGATGATGATGATGATGATCACAAGATGCAATTCAATCCTTACCTGAAAGGGAGAATCGATACTGACGCCACCTGGAAATATGAACTCTTGGAAAGGGGAATTCTCAGCGCCATGACCTTGGCTTTTACTTAAGTACTGATAACGTTTTTTTTTTTTAATCTCTGTAGGTAAAAACTTGGACTTTTTTACGGCCTGGCTATTGAAACATGAAAAATCTTTGATTACTAAGAGATGTCTGACCTCACTTCGAAGTCTGTAGTCACGATTTAAAGTACTTATTTTCTTGCAATGTTTTAGCCTCGGAAGGGGGTTTCCGTTCCTCTTTCTTTCTTTTTTTTAACTAAGAAAAAAGGCTACCCCTTCAAATTGTCACTTGGTTTTCAATTTAGGTAAGCATATTTGTTACCATATGTTTCGGACCTATTCACTTTTTGTTATCCAGATTCCACATCAGATAACCGTTGCTATATTTTCATCGCTACTATATATAGCATGGATCTGGTACACAACGCTGACAAACCAAGCCTACAGCTTTGTAGCAGGAACAGGGCAACAATAAGGATACATTTAAAACAAAACTAAAAAAAATCAGATTGTGGAAAGGTAAAATAACGGGTAGACGAAGAACCACTTTGTGGATGTGCTAGTGAATTAGGATTGTTTACTTGTCACAAACAGAAGATCCTAATCAATGACGTCACGGGAATTTCCCAGATGAACTTGCGATTTGCGTATGTATCGATCAAGAGTGAATATATTTTCGTACAAGCTTGTGTCTGTATGTATGAGTAGGCAGTTTTTGGTAGAGATTGGACATGTAAAGCACGATAACTAAGTTGTCTTACAGTTTTCTCCTGTAAGAAAGTATTAAAAGTCTCTTTGCTTTGGTTATTCGCTTAGTTTAAAGGCTACCTTGGTTTCGAAGTTCAACTTCATACTGGTTCACCCAGTATGGGTGACAGTGGTGTTACAGCACGACACAAAACCATACCGGATGACAAGGTAAGCTGCTTGAACCTATTTCATCTCTAAAGGTAATGGTTTTCAAACCTTCGAGGTTTGGTCAAAGTACTACGTTTTAAGATAAAACTAATACCCATGTGCTTAAATCAGGATGAAAAAGTGGTACTACATTACAAGAGTTTCCTTCGCTTTGAACTTTTTAGTACAGTTGCGGCAGTCGCGCAACCGAATTAAGTCCACTCCTTTTGTGCTTCAGGAGTCAAAAAAATGATACATTAAAGGTAGAGTTTAGATTCTGGGCTGGAACGCTTTTTTTTATAAACCTGGATGGTTTTTGATGACATAACTTTGTTTTTAACAATCTCGAAAAGATGCCTTCTCGCCACTCGTGCGTGAAATGCAGTTGTCGTGAGTGCGAAGTTGTGAATTTTTGGAACCCCTTTTTTGACCCTAAAGCCAGCGATTTTGAAATGAAATTTAAAGAGATTGTCTTGAAAGTACACTCTTCCCTCGAAGATGAGAAAATATACAACATGGTGATCGAATAGATGGGGAAGGGGTATAATATCTTTCATCGAAAACAATAAATATTCGCACTTTTCATAGGATAGATCCAAGATCAAGTTAGCCCTACAGCTTAAATCTGTAATTGTTCTGTTTCGTTAGTTTTGTGATGAAGTCGTGTTGTGGAGCGTGGTTTTATTGGTAGANTAAAGCCAGCGATTTTGAAATGAAATTTAAAGAGATTGTCTTGAAAGTACACTCTTCCCTCGAAGATGAGAAAATATACAACATGGTGATCGAATAGATGGGGAAGGGGTATAATATCTTTCATCGAAAACAATAAATATTCGCACTTTTCATAGGATAGATCCAAGATCAAGTTAGCCCTACAGCTTAAATCTGTAATTGTTCTGTTTCGTTAGTTTTGTGATGAAGTCGTGTTGTGGAGCGTGGTTTTATTGGTAGATTTCTTTACCTTATTAATTTTCAACAATTTCGCGAAGATCACCAACAGCGCGCAACAAAAAATTGTTTGAGAGGTGATCCGTTGACAACTCAAGAATTAAAAGTCTGTCTGTAAATTTAATGTCACTTGAGCGTTAATGTAGCACCATTTTCCCCAAAAAGCGATGGCTGTAATTTTGCCCAAAACCAGCCTCTGAATAAACTTTTTTAGGTTTGCAGATTATGATTCACCATGGTTTCCTAAACAATGAATAGTTAGCCACTTAGTAAACAATAATAGAAAATGCTGTGGACCAGACGGTCTTGATGATGAATTTTTTTGCACAAGTATAAAGCAGTGTTCACCTGAGCAATTTTCTCTGAAAAAAGGAAAGTTAATTAAAGTGCTATGCATGAGATTTCCTCTAGAAATTTGTCGCAGGTAATTTAGTAGTGCAATACCCACAACAGGTAAAAAAAAAATAAAACTTCAATTCTTTGCAGTATATTCAAATGAAAATAGCTTGCTTTAATCAGCATATGCATTGCCGATTCTTACAGACTTTTATGATTTTGCTGACTGCGTCGTGACGAAATCCAGCATGTTTGCTGCCAGCAGTTTCAGGATCACAAATCAGTAATCATGGCTATCAATTCCAAATGACCTTGTTACCTTGTGCATCAATTTTGAGCATTTAAGACTGATAACTTTCATAGCCATAATAAAATGCTTGCAGAAAGTCCACTTATTGTTGTCTTAAGCATCATTAGATGACTTCAAAAAAAATCAAAGCACTTATTCTTTCATTCTTTAGCAGTTTCAGTCCTAGAGCAAGTTATAGAAAGATTATTTCAATTCAACTCTGCCCATGAAATCTATGGTGTTACCATTCAAATGAAACTTCTTCAGCAGAACTTTTTCACAGTGCTATTTACTTCTAGGGATACTACAAAGTGAAGTTTGGATTTTTTGTGAATAATAATTTTTTTTCTGTGGACTTTATCAGGAGTAAAACGTTTAATGCCATCTAAGCCTAAGCTATATCATTAAAAAGAATAGCTGCTCAACAAAAGAAAAGAAGCTTATTCTTAGAATGAAATTTTCTTGAATAACTGTTAATTTTAATCTTGGGTGGACAGCATGCAAAGAAAGTATTGTCCAATAGCCCATGGCTAGTGGATTTTACTATGGGGCTAGTGAATTCTGTTTTTAACTTGCCCGACGGGCAAGTGATGTTTTTTGAGGAATTCGAATAACAGAAGATCTGTGAAATCAATTCTGCTCATCAAAAAGCTTTTGGGGCTAGTTGAAATGACGTCTGGACTAGTAAATGCTAGCTTCAGCTTGCCCGAATAGCAAGCTTTAAAAAATGATTTTCTTTGCACCCTGGTTGAGTACATGAGTAATAATTAGGCCTAAAAAAACGTAAATTCCCGGATGCCCTTTGGACAGGCAGCTGTCACATCTTACCTGCCCAGGACCATTGCTTGCTTGCTTGTCTTAATTTATGATTTAGATACAACATGACTTGCCTGGACAGGAGGGGACGATTTTCAAGCCCTGAGTCACAGTAATAGGTCTTCACACCTCCCCAAAAGAAAAAGAATACAAGGGTACCAATGCTGAAAACACTGGAAACAGAATTACATGTGGAAACCTAAAAAGCCCTTTGAAAAGTTTATTTAAACCAAGTGTTTTGCAATTTACAGAGATAACTAAAAACCACTTAACCCCTTACCTACCAAAGGACTGTATACACATACTGTGTGAGGTCATTCAGCATTCCAGGAGGTATATATAGGTCTTCAGAAAAATGAAATCACCAAAAGTCCAGTGGTTCCAGTTGCCTGGATAAATGAACTCCCTTCGCTGAGAAAGGTCTGGCCAGTTGCTGGGTGTATTTGGCTCTGGTAGGCAAGGGATTAAGACACCGAAACAAAAATCCTCAAAATCAATAAATTTTAAATAAACTCAAACTGCTTTCAAAAAAGGATTGAACTCCAAAACTGAAAACCACAATGCTGCATCCTCCATCCCCCCAAAAAAGGAAATTCCTTCTTGTCAGCAGTACTCTTGAATTGACTAAAACTTTCTAAAAATACCTTGGCCTTATGTATTTACTCTCATATAAAGAACTAGCATTTAATGTGTCAGCTGTTCAATGTTCTGTGGGACTTCGCCGATAAGACGTTGATATGTTTGCGACTTCATAGCCACAATCTAATGTTGGCACTTAAAATTAGTGCTGAATTTTTAGAATTATTCTCCTAGTTACCTCTGAGGAAATAATAAACATTGTCCATGTTTTCCAGGCTATAATCATCATTCTGTGACTCTTTTTTTTCAGATATGTCTGCGATTAATTCTGGTCTCTGGCAAGACACATGAATTTATATTTTCACCTAGTGACACAGTATATTATATAACACAACATGTTTATGAAAACTGGCCTGAAGGTACGTAGCTGATTGCTTTCAGTAAGTGAGTTTTGCGGTAATGTGCAGAATCCACAATTCTAGTGCTTGGACAAGCCAGCGCATTTGAAAAACATGACATAGAAAGGGTTTCTGGCACAAGCCTACAGATAATGTTCCCCTTTTGGAAGGGTCACATGTGTCACCAGATCATTGTTTTGGCCAGACAAACCTGAAAAGTTGTCAGACACACGTTATGTTGACTTTTAATTTCTTTAATCAGGGTCCGAAATTAACTTTTTAATACGGGCGCCAACTGGTGATCAAATATAAATTTTTGGTCGCCAGAGGGCAAATTGTGGTCGCCAAAAATTCCGCCTCCCTTTTTTTCAAATAAAATTTTAAACACGAATAAAAAATGCATGGTATGGACGTTTTTTTTTATGCTCAAAAATTGCACTGCTTTCGCTCCCGATACCAGAAAGCAACCATACGTGTACGAGTGAATTCCTATTTTTTCCACAAATTACTTTTTGGAGATGTAAAGCTATCTGACCCAGAACATAGGAACAGAAAGCTGTCTGCCCATGACTGCACTCATCATATCAAAACTCTATTTTCTTCCGATAACTACCACGAAACACGAAACATAAACACGAGTCAGCCATCTCGCTCGTACCAGGCCACAACTGTGCCAGGTTACTCGTACCAGTCCACAAAGTACATAACGTACGCTGAAAACAACATGGCGGCTTGGAAACGTTCAACTCGTATTGATCGTAGCTGTTGTGGAGGTATCATTACAGGAAGATTCGTTTCACTTTTAATTAAAAAATATCAGCAGGACAAAAAGGAAGACACCTGTTGGCAAATAGCTTCGAGGTTTCAATTCTTAATCAGTTCCTCCGAACGTTAAAGTCCACAATAACAACCAGCTTTACAAGTCGCTAGCTGGCGACCAGCTATGAAATTCTGGTCGCCAGGACTAAATTTTTAGTCGCATTGGCGACCAGGAAGGTGCAATTTCGGACCCTGTTAATTACTATGTTAATGCACATTAATAATAAAATTTTATTTTTTTCTGAATGAAGGATTACTTTTCCCGAAATTTAAGCTGTTGCATTGATTGTTATAGAGTGGCCATTGTTCAGAGCTTAAGCAGTTGATGTTTTAATGTTTTCCTTTTAAATCAAGATTTTCTACATTATAAAGGGCTAACTCTGCACACGGCTGCTTTTGAATCACTATGATTTCATTAATGACAGAAGTGATTAAATTTTTATTTATCTCTTAGTTTACAAAACCCATTATTTTTTATTAGTTTATTGGTTAATCTTGTGTTCAGTGAGCATAAAACTAAACTGTTTGTGACTATGAAGTAAATCATTTTATTTGTTTTATCTGCTTGTTTGTTTTTCCCTTAGATTGGAAAGATGAAGCAGTTAGTTCCCATAACATACTAAAACTTATCTACCATGGTCGGTTTCTACATGGCAATGTTTCTTTAGCAGGCAAGTGTTTTTATAAGCTATTCATAGTAATGGATTCTCATGAACTGAACATTGACAGCAAGTTTCTTTGTTCTTAGCTCTCCATTTAGAGACTGGCAAGCGAAGTGTAATGCACCTTGTAGCGAGAGAAAACTTACCGGAACCCGCCACTCAAGGTAGGAACAAAAGCACATTTAAAGTCTCAGGGGTTTCAATAATCACTGTTGGCTGGCAAAAACCATTGGCTGCTTCACTGAGAGAAGTCAGCTTTTCTCTTCCATAAGTTGAAGTGATTATCCCAAACCTTGAGGATACAATTGGTAACTCTAGTCAAACCAGTTGCCTACTTGAGATTATTTTTATTGAAATAGGGCTAACACTTAAGATGTAAAGTTGCTGGGTAAATGCAATTAGTTGGTGGAGAATAATATTGTACAGCTAGGAAGTTCTTTTGGTTCTATTTTCCCTCTGTTTCCTACAAAATTAATCGGGGATTATGCTCGTAGTACCCAAGGAAAATCCCTTCTTCCCAACCCTTGCCCTTAGTGGCAGCCCTGTTGATGCCTTTGATTAACCTAGATCAGGTCTCTATCAATGACTCCATGTGTTGTGGGGTATCTTTAAGTTAGCTTTCACATAAATAAAATAGTTCCTAATGCTACATTTTCTCTTGCCAATTTACAGGTCAAAGAAATCGAGAGAAAATTAATGAACAAAGTTGCTGTTGTAGTATTGTTTGACGTGAGGGTCAAAAGTCCATGAAGATGCATAGAAGAGACTAATGCCAAACATGTTTTTAAATTTAAACATATTAAATTTAATTGTTAAAATAATTTAACAACCCTTTATGCGCATGTGTACAATAATTTCTCTTTATATAGACCGTAAAGTAGAGAGTTCTCATTGCCTCTTAAGAGGTAAGGATTGGACCTCTCTCCGAACTGCCAAGTGTGCACGAAACAAGTCCAGATGTTAGAGGTCAAACTTCAGAGTTTTTAAACCATTTGAACGCGTAGTTATTTGATTATTTGTCACTCTAACTTCTGAATCTGTGGACGAAATCCTATGGTGTTACCATTCAAATGTAATCTCTTTGGCAGAAAGTCTGCAAAGTGCAATTTTTTTCATAGTATTTAGAAATAATTTGAAATTTTTTTGTGAAATTTCCTTTAACACCATTAGGTTTAAGAGTGAAAGGGATAAATGAAGGAACATACTCACCATAGTGGTTAAAAATAGTGTACTTGTAAAAGTGTAGACATTTTCATTGAAATGTCAAAATTTGCATTTCAATTATTATTTCTGGAGTTGTATGGCAATACATGCTACAATGTGTTCCTTATATTTCAAATTGTGCAAGTGCTCTCTCTCAAGAGACATCATTGAAACAGTATAACAACATGTTGTTGCTGGAATATCTCCGTTTCTCCTTTAAAATTTATTAAGAATTTTTTCAGGAGTGGGCATTAGTAGGGTATCTAAATCCAATCTTTCAGAAGAAAAGTGAAAAATAATGAAGGGGGCAAGGGGTGGGATCTCAAACAAGAAAAACCTCCATGGAGAGGGCATTGACAATTGTAGGATCTGAATGTGCTAATTTGTTACTTAACCTTTTGAAATAATCAGCATTAATTAAAAGTGGTCCTGTTTACTTCCAGAATGTTATGATTGTAGGCAAAAAAGTTGTTTTTACATAGGGAGGTTTGAGTATTTGACTAGTATCATTTCCTGTTGCCCTAGGACATATAATGAGAACGCATAAAGGCAAGTGTGGACAAAAAATTACACATCATTTATCCTTCGTAGTATCATCCATTACCCTTATTACCTTCCCAAAATTTTTACCACTTTTTTTAAAAAAATAGCAAATTAGTAGGGATTGCACATGAGTCTGGTGTATTGCAATAATTCAAGTTGTATAGTAATCCTTTTGTGAATGAAGAGCTCGTTGCATAATAAAAGGGAAATCAAAGTATTAAGTCACGTAGCCTGAACTACAATTATAGCTTTCATTGATGACTAAATGCTTTCAAAGTTCTCAAATTTTGGCCAATTCTGAGTTGTTTTTTTTTAAGAGTTAGGTCATATTCTAACTTTCCATGTAAATTTTCACTAATAATATCACAAATCCTTAGAGATATTTTAAACTTCTTGAGTCATAGATTATAATCTGGCCCTGGTTATTCAAACATTGGATGGATAAATCACTATCCACTGGATATTAGGGAAACCAACTGCATTATCCACTGGATAGAGTGGATAGCGTTATCTACCTTTTGAATAACTGGGGCCAAAACTGTAAAGTGAAATGTTTTCAAGAGTCAAGGCTGTAATAATTATCTCCTCCATCATAAACAGATTTCCTCTGGTGGCTGTATGCTTGTTTGGAATTGAAAAGCTGGCTTTATATATGCTGCCATGATCCTGAGAGTGACTTTTCTAAAAATTTGTGCAGAATCATTCCTCTCTGGCTTTGGCTCAACCAAAAGAAGGGTTAAAAATAATCTTACACAACTAAAACTCTTGGCTAGAGATAGACTGATAGATAAACGACATTCAAAACTTTACATATATTTACATATTATTTGGAAGAGTCAATGTTATGTTAGTGTCCAGTGCAGCCGATATTGAGCGAGTTGCCCAATCTAAGGAGGAGTGTTGCGTGACTGACTAAATAACCATTGTATTGGAGACTCCTGTCACAAGTTGATGGTGGCATATAGAAGCCAGTCTTCTTAAGACCTCAGAAAGTATTCTTATGTATACTCAAAGTTCACGCATTTGGTTAGACATGAACATGGAATATTGAATGATGACTATCACCTTAACCTCTGTACCATCTCAGACATTTACTAAATTGTGTACCATTAAGTGGAAATTCAACCCCCCCCCCCCCCCCCCCCCCCCCCCCCTGTTGGTGGTCTCTGTTGTACTCTCTTGCTGCTCTTTTGGCAGTGATGAAAAGATTCTCATTCACTATCCACATTCATGGGATGGCGAGTAGCCAATTGAGAATGCTATAAGGCTTTCACACAGACCTTAGCGAACTTATGTTTTTCAGGAATAAGGTTGGAATTAGACTCAGCTTTCTCCCAAAAATTAGACAAACAACTTGTCCATTATTTCCAGACTGCGATTTCTAACAGAGTCATCTGGCAATTTTAAGATTTTCTGATTTGTTTCTAAGAGCAATCATGTACCAGAAAGTCATACATACATATGAATGTTTCTTCTTGTTCGCCATAGTTTGTTGAGATCCATTTAATTCTGCTACCATGACAATGTGACATAGTGACTTCTCTCTATGCCCAGATTAACCTGCTCTGCACCTCAGTCTATGGGGATTGAGAAAAGCATTCTGTATGGTACACCACAGTCAGGCACAGACCTGCCAACTCTCCCAATTCTGCCGAGAGTCTCTCGAATTTTTAAATTTTTCTCACGGCCTCACGAGAAGACTCCCAATGTCATGATTTGGTGTTTGTGAATCGTGCTGTTCTCAGGTGAATAAAATATAACATTGTGATTAAAGTGCACTCTGTGAAAAATGAAGTGCCAAAATCCTAGACTGTGTACACGTACATTGAAGATCAACTGATGAAAATAAATCATTAATTTGGACAAAGGACCTTAACTATCACTGGGTGGCTTGATTTAACTTCATTTTTAAGTCTTTTGATGTAGATTCACACTTCAGTGCGCTCAGACCCACCTACACTTGGCCTCCCTAGGGAATTTATAGCCGCGCCGAGATCACCTGACCACATGACCGAGATCAAAGGTTTTTCGTAAACTCGAGACCAGATCCCCCCTTCCCTCTAGAAAGAAAGAGTTGACATTCTAATCTAAGTAGTGATGACATAATTTCTTAAAGGCCAGGTCTTGAAACAGGTATGGATTTTGGAGGCAAGGTCTGAAAACAGGGTCAAGATTTTGAAGAACCAGGCGGCAAAAAACCCACCAAGAATTCCCAGCAGTACCCCTCCACCCTCCATAAGTTCACGCATTTGTGTAGACATGAAACAGGAATATTAAAAGATGACTATCCCCTTAACCTCTGTACCCCCCCCAACTTTTTCTAAATTGTTTACCATTAAGTGGAAATTCCCCCCCCCCCCCCCCCCCGGATACTGCGTCAACATACTGGACTTTTCCTCCAATTGGTGACAATAATAATTTATTGTGTTTTTCATTGTTTGTTGGTTTCTTAGAGCTCAAATATCATTAGTAAGTTTAATTTAAAGGAGTAAAGTGCTCGTAGCACTACCTGTCAAAAGGACCTTGTAATAGTGCAAGCACTTCACCATTTGAGTGGTAAAATAGAATTTTTAAAACTTTTTGTTAATTCTTCAGTTACCCAAATGCCTCTCTAAATGTGCATGTGGTCAGAGGATTACTTTGAATATCAATGACGTTTTATTTTTGTGAGAACTGCTGTAGCATAGAAACATAAAATATTTTTTAAATAGGCATGTCTTGTTCATAACTGTAAAGAAGACAATACACAGTATATTACTTCTTGTTGGTAGCTAGGCTTCTTATTCATATTGCTTTGCTCTTTGTGTTATTTTCTCCAATAAAATATGGTTATTCAAGAAAATATTCATACCCATCTCAAAGATTACTGACTTGCCAGCAGCCTGCATGGTATTCATTTCCATTCCATTCAAAGAGATGCACAAGGGCATGGGGTAAAAAGTTGCTCCTTTTTAGTTCCTCACACTTATTTCACACCTCTGGATCGAGTTGTTCAAAGCTGGGTTAAGATAACCCAGGGTTAGTGCGAGATTTGAATTCAGATATGAAAGCTTAAAAATCATTTCAGTTTTAATTCTTTTTGTCTACAAGTTGATTATCAAAGGCTTTAAAAATAACAGAGAAAATTATCCAAGAAAATGCTTTTAAGCGCTAATCAGCCTTCGAACAACTGAGCCCAGATCTCCTGCTTGGCTTAAAGGAAACTAGGAACAACTGCTGCGCAGTTTACTATGGAAAGGGTATGGATATCTTTTTGTGATGCATTAGCACTGCCCAGTTAGATTTGTTTGCAACAATTTCAAAGTAATATTATGAAGTTTTTTTTACTTGTCAGTAACATGTAAAGAGTAAATTAAATAATAGATTTGTGTGGAATTATAGACTACTTTTCTTCAAAATGACAGGAACCCCTATGGGTTATTTAACATGCGTCTCAAGTGGGATCCAGTATTCTGTTTTTGTTTTGTTTTGTTTGGGGGGCGGGGGGGAGAGGGCGGGGTAAGTATGATTTCTGCCACTCTCTCAGACCCAGACTTGTCCCTCCCGGAGAGTCAAAGAGGCAAAGGTGCCTTTCCCAAATAGCCGCTGGTAATCAAGTCTATTGGCAGGGAAGGGGGAGATGGTGTTTCACAGTATCATGTGATACGAGTTTCACGAATGAGGAATCAAAAAATATTCCACCATCAGCAACATTTACCATTTCACATATAATAAACATCCTTACAGTTAAACAGAGTACATAAACCTTGTGATTAAGGATGTAATTTTCATACTATGCACATATTAATTTAGATAATTTACTATTAATGCGTACGTATTGTTTTTGTTTTTTTTTACATTGAATTTGTTGCTGTAGCTGTCAAATGACCCACCTCCCCCATACCAAGAAAATGTTGGTTGTTTGGGACGATCATAATACCTGCCTAAGCTCCATTAGGTGTGGGATCTTAGTAATCCCCTGTTGTGTTTCTGGTTTTGCTTTGTCAGTCCATTCAAGAAAAGATATGATTTCTCCACAAAGTTTCAACTTAGTTACAAAGACGTTCACGATTTTTAATTTATTTTTCCTTTTTGAATTTATCTATTTCCACAAAGGCCTAATACAGCCTGTTTTTTAAACTAACAACAGGAATGGAGAATTAAAATTTCTTCATTGGGGATTGTTGGGGCAATGAGCCATTATCTTGACATTACTTTTGTATAAGTACAACAGGTATTTTCATGGCAGGGCTAGATTAAATAAAAAAATTGTTGGCTAGATTAAATAAAAAAATTGCTAGCTTTGATTCCAAACTATTTAACGAACAAACAGGGAAACAAACTTCTTCTGATCTTATGATTTGACCAGCTTGATCGCTGGTAAATTACTAATTATACTTCTCCAAGAAAATACTTCATAATAGAGAGTAGAAGTGTGACATCACATTACCAAGGAAACAAAATTTCTTGACAGAGACACAGACCTTCCAACCCCTAAACCATGCAAATCGGGAGTGTTTGAAACAAAAAGCCTCGAAAAACCTGGAGATTGGGACCTCAAACCTGGAGATTTTCAAAAGATATATATCAAATAAAACTAAAAAGGCAATTATTTTTGTCACAGTATTCTTTACTCTATTGGTTGGTGGTCTCTGTTGTACTCTCTTGCTGCTCTTTTGGCAGTGATGAAAAGATTCTCATTCACTATCCACATTCATGGGATGGCGAGTAGCCAATTGAGAATGCTATAAGGCTTTCACACAGACCTTAGCGAACTTATGTTTTTCAGGAATAAGGTTGGAATTAGACTCAGCTTTCTCCCAAAAATTAGACAAACAACTTGTCCATTATTTCCAGACTGCGATTTCTAACAGAGTCATCTGGCAATTTTAAGATTTTCTGATTTGTTTCTAAGAGCAATCATGTACCAGAAAGTCATACATACATATGAATGTTTTTTCTTGTTCGCCATAGTTTGTTGAGATCCATTTAATTCTGCTACCATGACAATGTGACATAGTGACTTCTCTCTATGCCCAGATTAACCTGCTCTGCACCTCAGTCTATGGGGATTGAGAAAAGCATTCTGTATGGTACACCACAGTCAGGCACAGACCTGCCAACTCTCCCAATTCTGCCGAGAGTCTCTCGAATTTTTAAATTTTTCTCACGGCCTCACGAGAAGACTCCCAATGTCATGATTTGGTGTTTGTGAAT